TTCAAATCATCATGCATGGATGATGGCCACGAATGAAAGAAGGATCTAACTAAACTGTAGATTTATATTCCATTATTTCCATGTCATTTAGTTATTTGATAGCTTAAAACAAAGTTTGGATAAAGGTCTGAGAATCAGCTTGGTCTGATGAATCCTGGTACTGCACGAAAGGCCTCATCGGCACTGACTATAGCAGATAAGGTTATTATGTTATTCTTTACTTTCATAAGCTCTTACAATTACTAATGTAGTCTTCTTCCGTTGAAGCTGTAGTCACGTGACACGCTACGTAATAAATAAAAAAAGACGAGTTTCCTAATTCGCCAGTTTTTCTGAAAGACGAGTAAAGTTAATTCAGTGTAAAATAATTAACATTAATTTGGTGTTGAATAATGAAATGTTAATTTGTTGTTGTTAAGCAAAAAAAGCTATACAATGAGCTATTTGTGCCTTTCCCATCACGGATATCGAATCCCGATTTTTAGTGTAGTAAACTTACTACTGAGCCACTAGGGGACAAATAAATACATACATAATTTGATATCCATAAACATCATTAGCGTAATTCTGATATTTAATGAGTTAAATAAAAGTGGTAAGAATTGGAGTTCTACATCATAATGTAATTCGTACTGAAACAGTTGTTGTTCAAGTAATTCATGATATAAATAGCGTTTGGACTACTATGGTGTCTCTCGCAACCTAGTCGGGCTGATGAACCCTGATTTGAGCCTAGAGGCCCAATTGGCATTGGATAGAGCAGATATAATGTGTTTGACATATTCGTACATTAATCTTAACTTTCATAAGTTCTCATAATGATTAATAGAACAGTTGAGTGTTGTGAATTTTAGTGATTGTGTTTTAAGAATATGATTAACTGCGTGGTGACATTCTTAATTCTGGTTGTAAGTGTTTAAAAATATGTCAAATTGTTTTGACATCCTAGTCGCTACGGTCACTATAAAAGTTAGTGTTACGACTCTTACACGGTGGAGTAATATGAGAACATTTTTATTGTTGACAACGGGCGTTCTTCTGCTGAATATTTGTGTAGCTGTGATGCCACCACTCGTTACGGATTTATAATCATTGATGTAAAACATTTTATTATGCTAAAGTTAGTAAATTTCTTAGAGCACCGTGTGTACAAGTAAAACACGTTTTAATGACTGCAATGAGTTTTTTTTTTCATATCATCCGAAATTAATGTTATACCCCTACATTCATGTCGGTATGTCGTCAAATGTACTCGTCTTTAATGTACCAATCTGTCAGTATGTTGACTGTGTCTTTCCTGCACTATGTATCTTAATGAGAAAGATGCTTCTACAGTAACGTACCAACGTTTTCTAACGTAACCAGAAATTAAGCCTTGCATATTCGAAATATTTTAGTTTTTTTAGTAACAGTTATATAATCTAGTGAACTTAACAGTGAAAAACTAGAGAAACACAGAAATGCCTAATTCAAAGGAAAGTCGTGAGAGAGTTCATCGAATCTCTTATTAATGAAATGTTCACAGTAACACCTTCTTTTCTTGTACCAGTAAGAATAGTGTACGTGTAATTATACCATGGGTGTATATTTATTTAATATCATCTGGATTTTCTTACCTTGACGACTTAAGTATCTTGCTTGCAGTTTCAACCTAAGAAATGCGCCAGTTATAAGAAACTAGAAACTCTAAGTGGAATGAATCAAATGAAACAGCTGTAATTTGGTGATTGAATAAGTCACATAAGAGTAGCTACCTTCCTGTTGGCCCATCATGGCCAGGTGGATAAGGCGATCGACTCGCAATCTGAGAGTCGCGGGTTCGAATCCCCGTCCCACCAAACATGCTCGCCTTTTCAGCCGTGGGGGCGTTATAATGTGGCGGTCAATCCCGCTATTCGTTGGTAAAAGAGTAGCCCAAGAGTTGGCTAGATGCCTTCCCTCTAGTCTTACACTGCTAACTTAGGGACGGCTAGCGCAGATAACCCTCGTGTAGCTTCGCGCGAAATTCAAAAACAAACAAACGTTCCTCTTATTTCCTGAATGTGCTGTTTATCGATTTTATTGGAACTTTTGATACTGTTAACTAGTCTATTCTCTAAGGACATAAGTTAACTTTTTTTAATTTATAAATAATTATCTTTTAATAAAATGTTTGAAACTTTTTGATTTATGGACTTAAAATTGGCATATTTTATTAACTTGTTAAAGACCTGTATAAGACAATAGAATCTGTTGGTTGTATCTAAACCGTATTATAAAGGAACACAATTTTTAACTTTGTTCCATACGACTTCACTGCGTAAAGATCTGTAGCCATAGTAAATGAATACAGACAGATCTTTATTCCGAACCTTAAAGGGAACTAGTGGCGGGAAGAAGCTTTTCTTCGCTCGGAATAGATCTACTCTGGAAGGCCAAGCCCGGTATCCAAGATTTGATTGATGACAATCTAGAAAAAAAAAAAAAATAAGCGACGACAGCGATTTTCAAATAACTGGTTATAAGACGAACAGCCTTGAGTTACTTCAGTAATAATAAAAGAAATCCTAGTTTTTAAAATATAAAAACAGGAAGTTGTCTTCATCAGTTTAGTCTTATATGCGTATTATTCTCTGACACTTGAACTATATGTGAAACATTTTTTACATCGACTTTATAGGTATTTTACATATATATTTCAAGTCTGAGTCATGAGTAGTTTCACTATTCATGAAAACACTACAGAATGGATAGATCTGTCTTCAGGTGAATAATATTATTATAGTGAGTAATTCAGCAAAACATAACACTTTATCAATTAGAATGTTCTGATCATTCTTTAAAAGTATATCTTTTCACGAAGAGTAAATTATTTGATGAAATCATACTATACGTTATGCTGTTAAGCCTAGTCATTAAAAAATATTCATACTTTGCTACATAAAAGCAGTATACATGCATTTGCAAAATAATAAGATACGTTTTTAGGTCGTGAAACCTTTTCAATTTTTGAAATTAGAGCTTATGTTCTTTGAGACGTTGTTTTCTAAATTTTACTTTGAATTTCTATAATAGACCCATGACACACGCAAGAACATTTGGTAGACTTTTATCGTTGGGCAATTATTGTTATTGCATTATTTGAAGCGAGTTAGAACATGTCATTATCTAAATAACACACGCAAGAACATTTGATAGACCTTTATCGATGGGCAATTATTGTTATTGTATTATTTGAAGCTAGTTAGAACATGTCATTATCTAAATAACACACGCAAGAACATTTGGTAGACTTTTATCGATGGGCAGTTATTGCTATTTTATTATTTGGAGCGAATTAGAACATCTCGTTATCTAAATAACACAAGCAAGAACATTTGATAGACCTTTATCGATGGGCAGTTATTGCTATTTTATTATTTGGAGCGAGTTAGAACATCTCGTTATCTAAATAACACAAGCAAGAACATTTGATAGACCTTTATCGATGGGCAGTTATTGTTATTGTATTATTTGAAGCTAGTTAGAACATGTCATTATCTAAATAACACACGCAAGACCATTTGGTAGACTTTTATCGATTGGCAGTTATTGTTATTGTATTATTTAAAGCGAGATAGAACATGTCATTATCTAAATAACACACGCAAGAACATTTGTAGACTTTTATCGATTGGCAGTTATTGTTATTGTTTTATTTGAAGCTAGTTAGAACATGTCATTATCTAAATAACACACGCAAGACCATTTGGTAGACTTTTATCGATTGGCAGTTATTGTTATTGTATTATTTAAAGCGAGATAGAACATGTCATT